AAACGTGTACACCCTAAAACAAGGTGTAGTGTTACACCCGTTTGTCCCACATAATACACCCTAAACCTCAAGTTCGACTTAGAGCGCACTACCGTCGAACTGACAGCCCCAACGTTTACGAGGGGCTTGATAACGTGTGCGATATAACGTATTAAACAGCTAAAGTACGTCTCAACAACTACAAAATAAACGAAAAAACCCTGAGCTTTCGCAGTAGGCCAAAGAAAAGCGCGAATAATGTTTTGCAGATAGTAACACGCATGTTGTACCACTCGGTTATCAAGCTGCTCGTGAAATTCGGTACCTTCGGTTTGACGGGAGTGCGCTGTACGTTGAACAGATGTTTCGGGGTGTTCTTAAGCGGGTCAAGGGGTGTAAGAAGACGAAGAAAGAGAAAGGACAGGTAGAGAGAAAGTGCTCTTTACCTGCGTGATCACTATGTTGCTTTATCGTGTCGAAGTACCTACTAGCTCAAATTACAACTTCACTACAGGGGTGTAAGCCCTACACCCCCTATTTCTGAGAGTCTACACCGTTTGTTTCGAAACCTGCGCATTTTTGCGCAGGTTTCGTATAGACATGATACAAATTGGACAATTTGCGTTTTGTATAGACATGCTACAAAAGAAAATTAAAAAAAAAAACTTTTCTCTTTTAAGTGTAAAGCACTTTTTAAGAAAAAAAATGAAAGCCGTTTACTGTAACCCTGCGCTCTAACAGGCCCTGTAACGCCGGTTAGAGCGCAGCTCTTGAGAAGGAGGATGGAAGCGTACTGAGGGATAGGTGACTCCTTGAGGTCACATTACCACAGGGGGGGGGGGGGGGGGGAGGGGGGGTCGTGTGACGTCAGGGGGTCACGTGACCTTAGGGGAGGTGAGTAACGTGACCTCCGGGGGGGGGGGGGTCACGTGACCTCGCGGTTACGCCGACGCCGCTCAAGCCGGGAACGGGCCCCTCAAGCTGCGCTCTAAAAGAAAAGCAGCTTAATCGCGCTCCCAGGCGGAAAGTACCACGAGCGCTTACGACTTGAACGGGACTTGACGAAGGAAGTTCGGGGGAGCGTCTATGAAACGTAAAAACCAGCTTGGGGGTTTTCCAGTAAAACTTGGCGTTGAGGCGAACTTGAGCACGTCGAAGTTCGGCTTCGGTTGAAGTCGTATATATGAATTCGGGGGTGAGACCCTTGGCCATTTTTGATAACCTTCCTTTGTGAAGCCACACTTTCTGCTCTGGTTCGGATCAACCCAAAGTCACAAAACAGGACGGTGTTGAGTCCGATTTACGACTTCGATTTTCTTCCAGTGAGCCCGAAGTCAGCAGCCTCGTTTACTGCGTGCAAAACTACTCTCCACACTGGTCGTATAGACCGTTCTATTAGGGTCATAGCAGAGAGGGTAATAGAGAGAAAAAAATGTCCTTTCCCTCTCACCCCTCATGTCGTCTGCTCCGCCGAATGGGCTGTACCTAGCATCCGGCTGGCGTGCGAACTTTGTTTAAAGTCGTGTCATTTTGGCAATTTCAAGCGCAGATGCGCAGATTTTGGTGTGCCAGTTATCGTGTAATACTATGCTAGATAGAAAAAGACTAACAGGGTCCAATTGCGTTGTTACCAGCGCGCAAATAAAAAACAAATGGGGAAAACTGTGTCAGATTGGCCGGTTGCGCCGGCGAAAAGTAATTCCGTTTGCTGTACCTTTTTTACTATACAAACGTCGTACTGGTGTAGGCCTTTAGCGACCATGAGTGAAAGTCTGAAATAATAAATAAAAACGTGCTCTTCTGCCGCAATACACGCAGTAGTTGAGGGTAGTACTGCCGGCTGACTCAACCGCTATTTAAGTAGTAGAAAAGAGATACGCTAGTTGATCATTTACCGAAATAGAACAACAGAGAGCTCTAGGCTGATTTTGGAGTAGCCACAACTATTCTAAGAACGCGAACCACTTCACAACGGCAGCCACAAGCGAGAGTTTGATATTCCGTACAGCCCGCCGGTACAGCCCAAATATAGAGAATGACAACTTCCCGGTTTGTCGTCTGCTAGCGGAGGGGGGCGTGCCCGCTCTCTCGTTTTACCCCGCCGAACCCGCTGAACTTCCCGGATGTGTGGAGAGGGCGCTGCTTTCGAACAAAATGGTGCCGCCCAGAGACCGCTAAATGGAATGGTCTATACTGCGAGTGCCTCTTCATACCAATAACTTATAAGGGTATAACGTATTCCGGGCAGCTGCAAGTATCGTGCCTTTTCCTGGTCCTTGCTTAGCGTGCCGTTTCATATGTGCATTCTCTCAATATTGTACTCGGTGTAGGCCTCTGAACGTCCTCTGAGTTAATTAGGGGGTCCGCAAAGGCTAAAAGATTAAAAGCCGCTGCTCCGGGACACCTCTGATTGCCTACATCCAGTATTTGGAGCGTTTCTGAGACAGATAGAAACTGCCACATGTTAAAAAAGTGGTGCGGTGCAGTGTGAAACAAAAAAAAAAAAAAAACTGTTGGAGTGTTGCAGTGGTTAGCACACATTTTCGGTAATGAGAAAATCCGGAACTCGAATGATGGCTACCACAGTATTGCTTTTCAATTACTTTGAACTCTTTCTTTTCATTTGATTAGTCCGGTTCGATCGTATACGCTCAGACAAAAGAAGCCTTGTGTGCCAGTGGCTCCCTTCTGGTAAGCTACTGCAAAGTAGCACTTCCTAAACACTCTCGATTTAACAATTTATAAATGTTAATACCAAAAATTCCTAAGCAACCGAATATTTCTATAGAAGCACACGTCCAGTGGTGTCCCATTCCGGGTAGGAAGAAAAAGGTTGTCCACTTCGATCATTTTTTCTTGACTATGCCGGCAGAGGTCCTTGTAGCACATCATGCTATAATATGCTAAAAGAAAACCTGCTACCTGATCATAACAATATCAGAAGACTGGAGTTCCTGGCATCGCTATGATTAAAATATTGCTAGAAATATCAGGCACTCCAGACCTCTGTACGACTGTGTGAGTGGCACGAGCACGATCACATATGCTATAAGGCATCTTCCTGGCGGGATTTCTTGTGCGCAACAACAGACTCAAAAATCTCAATAGGAAATGATTAAAGAAACGAATGAAAACAATTGAAATGTCTAGTATTGGGTGACCCAAGTCACCAGGCTCGATCTAAAATGGACCATAAAAATCGACGCCTGCACGTAGCCATCAAAACCTTTCGTCAAAGGTGTATTTCACAGGTCGGTTTTCTTTTTTTTCTTTGTGAAATTACAAAGCGTAGTTCCCTTTTAGTAAAAAATAGGGCCAAGAAACTTGCCAGGGTCTACGGCGGGCAGTGACCCAGACGACCAAGTCCAGTAGCGGGGTGTGTTTGGCGTTCGTATTCATAGATGGCGTTGGGAGCAGCGTCTGAAGGTGCAGCCGACCAGCAAAAGTTAGCAGACGAAATCCGTTGGCAGCAAAAGCGCCGCCGTTATGCAGACGCGTTCTTTTTTTACTTTAAGTTTTACTTTTATTGTTCGCATTTATTTTTTAGCCTAAGTTACATTTCAAAAATATTATATTTATTTTAATAACCTACGGTGGTCGCGAGCCGTCGCGATAAGGAGGTAGCGCCATCTATCAAAACGAACGCCAAACACACCCCGCTACTGGACCCCTGTCGTCTGCGTTGCTGCCTGCCATAGACCCTGGAAAGTTCCTTGGCCTTATTCCTTACAGAAAGAGAGCTGCGCTTTGTAATTTTAAAAGAAAAAAACCGACCTGTGAATTACGCCTTTGACGAAAAATTTAAAATGCTTCGTGCAGGCGTCAATTTTTACGAACATTTTAGGTCGAGCCTGGTGACTTGAGCCACCCTATATATAAAGGAGCACATTGAAATTTGTTAACTGTTTAGAGCAAGTTATAGGTTACATTCTTTATAAAACATTTTATTAAATCTTCGTATCGCTATGCTAATAAAGGTTTTACATGAATACAAACATGCATGCCAGCTCTTTTGGCTTTAGTAGCAGTCCTCCAGGCATCTCGGCTCCATATTTGTGTTTAAAAAAAAGGAAAGACGTCAACATTCGATTCCAGAAACAAGAAAAATAACGGTTCTGTTGGCAGTAAAAATTCAAAAAATAAATAAAAAAAAAATGCGTCCTTTATTCCAAACAAAGGCTGTTTATCTAAGATTGGGCGAAAGACACGGCCGCGGTGACCCTGAGGAGAATGACAGCGCCAAACTCGGAGGAGGTGAGTCACGTCAGGCGGCCGCCGAGAAGTACACACGTCCAGGAGGAACGCCGCTGTCGTGCGCAAACATTTACGCTCGCGAACGGACGTGCATCGACACCCTGGGGCTTGAACTATTGCAATGTTCAAGATGGCGCCCGTGGGACCGCAGCCTTAAAAGAGGTTGCGTGTTGAATCAAGTAGATAATATAAAATTTACATAATACTTCAACGAGGAAAACATAATATGTACTAATGTAGCACGGTGAAAAATACAGTGTACAAAAACACACGGACGGCGAAAAGGAACATGCACGACACACCGTGCTTCTGTGTCTTGCATGTTCCTCTTCTCTGTCCTTGTGGTTTTGTGCAGTGTTCTGTTCACCATGGCAGCATACAAACGAGCCCAGCTAACCCCAGTTCCGCTATTTATAGCACACTGCGGATGCAATCAACATTGCTTGAATTACTTTGAAGTTCAGATCAGCTTTGCTGCCAAGATCACGCCTCACCTGTTCTTGTATCTAGAGTACGTGCCCAAACGAAAGCTGAATTTAAGTAACAGCATTGTGTGGACTGTGCATCATGTATTAAATGCATACCCATGGTGCAACGAAATTTGTTGTAGTATGTTACAAACGCCAAAACAAATAGAGATGTGTTCCTACGATAATGAAAAAAGAATGTTATATGAATTTCACTCAACTGTTAAAAGCAAGTTAAGATTGGGGTATTTCATTTTGAAAATAATATTTTAGCATAAGCAGAACATTTCATTTTTTCAGGTGAATTTAAGATACTTGAGCGTTAACAATCCAAAAGTGCAGTTTCAACTTATGGGAATAGAGATACTTTCGGTAAGTACTTATCCTTACCTTACAGGAAGACAAGCCTCAAGCAATCCGTTCACATAAATCTCTTCAGTAATCCCAAGGGATGTTACAAAACTGTATCTGTCTTACAACGTCTAAATTCTCCTAAAAACCTCTAGTTTTAATAACTTAAAGCAGAAAATTGCTATCTACAGTTTTTTGGGGAAAGGTATCCAGCCCAATAAGTAAAGTGCAAATTATTTGAGTTATATTTATTTATCTCTGAATTTTATTTTGAGTAGAATCAGCTTCCTTAGAGCTACTGTGAAAAACACATAAATTGGCATAAGTTACCCTTCTACGTTTCATTTGATTTAATTATTTACATTAAAGTCACCTATTCATGTTTCACACAGAGTGAGAGAAAATCTAGAATGAGAGAATAATTTTTATATGAACTCACAAAGAAACAAAAAGTATAAGAAATAGGGGAATTGAACTCTTACTAGTAGTGTACTTAAGAAAATACATACAAAACGTGATAGAGAAATGTACAGATAAAAGTAAAAAAAAACTACTGTTCTGGTTAAGTAATTTCAAGGTGCAACAAACAAATCAAACAAGTCTTCAGAACTCAGTTTAAGAAAATAAAAGCTTGGTAAAGACCCACAATAAATGGGGACACTTTTGCAGCCTTTTTAAAGATGATGCGAGTGGAGAAAACAAAAGCTAGTACGTGATTTAATTTTTTGCACGTTGCTTAAGTGATCAAGCCTTGAAAATGTGTCCATAAAGAAGGTATATTTTGCATTAAATTTTCTCTGTACTGCAGAAGTCTAGGGAGTCGTTCTTGGAATTCGTGCCTCGCCCACCAAACTGCATAGAAGGACTCAAGTCAGTATACAACATGATGGAATTCTTCCATACATACCCGGAGGATTATGAAACCTATGACCTGATCTACCTGATGACTGGGTAATCACACCATACTTGTGCTATTCGCTAGACCGAGTAATTCTCATATACAGTCAGTTGGTGCTTCGTGCACAATGTAAGCGAAGTACTGTATCGAAATGTTCGTTGTTTTGGTTATGAGTAATGTTCCATGTTTCTGGCAAATACCAATTGTTAGACCCTTATTATAGAATAAATTCGTATTATTAAATAGTTTACACGATCGGTTAGAAGTTGGTTACAGGTAGATAACGGCGCACATGACTTTCGTCCGAAGTTGGCGTGGGTGGCTAAGGAGAGGCAGCTCGCTGGCGTCCCGCGTAGCGGCGCTGTTCTTACTGCTTGCCGTCTGCTCGGCAGATGAGGCCAAAGGGAAATATGTATGACACCCCTTTTTTCTAAGTGAAGTACTTCCAGCGCTGCGGGGGTGTTCTAGCCCTACCCGGTTTCTTCTGCCTGGTAGCACTGGCACGCTCGCTGGTTCCACTGGCACGCTCGCTGATGTCTATTCTGTACTGCGGTTAAGCAGCTGGTTCAGTGGTTCTTGACCAGACGCCTGGTACTCTGTGTTTGGTGCCGCCGAGTGCTGTGCTTGGTGCACCAATCCGTCGCAATTGATTGACGAGACGTCGCACCATCGTGTTTTTTATGGTGCGGGCTTTGTAGGAGACAGGTCATGTAACTTCAATCACTGTTGCTATGATCCATGCAGGGTCACTACTGTAGTTTCGTACGAACACAAGGTATCCTAGTCGATATACTCGTGGCATTCGTTCGGTTTCTTTTCTGGCGTTCTCATAAGCTTTATTCCTGATGATTTATGTCAACCAGTAGCGTCGTCAACCAGCCTCTGATCAGCAATTCTGCTGGGCTCCTGTTGATCGTCGAGCATGGTGTTAGGTGCTGCTGCAGAAAAAAAAAAGGCTAGACGCTGCCCCCAGTCTCCCTTTGCGATACGCCGTATAGTGCGTCTTTTGTCGTGCTAATAATGCACTCTACATATCTGTTTGTTGAGAGGTGGAATGTTGCTGTCGTGATGTGCCAAATAAGACCGGCCTTTATAAACATATGTAACTTTTCAAACGTGAATTGAACCCTGCGAGACTACTCAGTTCGGCATTCCACATGTAGCGAAAAGATAACGCAGGACGTTTATTTATTTAGTAATACTGTAAATTTTTCATGATCAAAATAGATGTGGGGATACGCAAAAACGACGCACAAACGCATACATTTCACAGATTTTTTTCATCAGGTTAAAAGTTGCACCACAATGACCGTTCAAAAGGGCACAGTAAATGCAGAGGATCAACAAGCTCGTCAGGCGCGCATGGTGGTAACAGTGCGCATTTAATATGGTGAAGTGAGGTAGTCTACAAACGACTTGGCAGATGCGCTATTAACTACAGACTCCTGTAGCTGGTTCCACTCCTCCATTGCACGCGGAAACAAAGAGTACTTAAATACTTTATTATGACTTTGATAAGGTTTAACTCCTCTGTCGTGATTTGTTTTTGCTAACCGATCAAAGGAAGATTGTAGGTAGTCCTCATGAGTCATATTTATTTTACCATAATAAAGAGAGTAAAAAAAACCGGAGCGCGGTTACTGATCTTCTGGATTCAAGACATTGTAATGCTGCATCAATAAGAATAGAGTTAACGCTACATCTTTGGGAGTAATTAGGAAATATTAACCTAGCCGCAAACGTCTGAGCCCTATCCACCCAGGCAGTGAGGTACGCATGGTGGGCGCTCCACACAATGCTGGCATATTCGACTATCCGTCTCACAAGTGACTTATATGCAGTAAGCTTGCTCTCCAGAGTCGAGTTCCTCAATTCGGACACTCATAGAACGTGAAACGTGGGGTCGCCACCACGGCACTAACATCTGCCTTAAAGAAGTCTTGCGAACACCAGATCCAGAAGAGTTTTTACACTCAGGTATCCAGGCTACTTGATGCTGGGTATCCGGAAACGTTACTGGTATCAATATGTGAAAAGATCTCCCAGAAGTTGAAGCGCGGACAGGAAGGCATCGAGCGAACAACAAAGAAAAAGAATGCAAGTCCCATAGTGGTAGCACCATATCTCCATGGCATCACTCACCGGCTAAAAAATATCGCAGGCCGGCAAGGGGTCCAAGTGATAAGCTCCGCGCCAAACAAAGGGTATTCAATGTGCGGCAGGGTAAACGAAAACCAACGTAGGCACCAAGAGGAATGTAACATCGCTCACAAAACAAGGTAAGCCCAATGTCAAAAAGAGGTCATTTATAACATTCCATTAACATGTGGAAGGTGTTATATTAGGCAGACAGGGCGCTATATCAATGATAGAACCAGAGAACATGCCACATCTCTACGAAACGTGACAGCAGCAGGACACCTTGCAGCCCATTGTCGCGCATGCCAATGCGGGGCAACCTTGTGCAACGTAAGCATCGTGGGGCGACATAAAAATCAACTCGCCCGTGAACTACTGGAAGCCCTAGCCATCGAAGAAAAAGGCGAGGACTGTGTTAGTGCCCCTGCCGTCGCACTACACAACTCCGAGAAGATTTTCCTGCGGAGTGACATGAGGTCCAGGCAAAGGGAGAAGAAGAGGAAGACCGTTTAAGGGAGACAGAAGAAAAGGGATGAGAACATTCCGAAGGCAGAAAGGGCAATGCGTTTAAGGAAGAGAAATTCCGAATTAAGTTAAGGAAAAAGAGAACGTAAATCAAGTGTAAAGAATTAAAAAAATCTAAGTGTAAAGAAAAAGGAAACCGGAATCAAGGATTAGCAGAAAAGGAAAAAGAGGCATCATTAAATGTTGCTAGTCCAGCGGTGCGAATGTTATATTTTTTCTCTGTATATTTTTTCTCTGTGTGTTTTCCATGTTCAGCTGGCCCCATTCACAATCTCTCGAGCTTTTTGGTCCCTGTGTTTATGCAAAACAATGGCCTTGTGAAGTAACGTTGTACAGGCGCAGTCCCTGCAGTGTAACGCCAAGTGGGAGCTTGCTGTTCCTGTTAAAGAACTACGGTGTTCCCGCAGGCGAATGTTGAGGCACCGCCCCGTCTGTCCGATGCATACCTTCCCGCACGTGAAGGGTATCTGGTACACTACACCCAAGGTGCATGACACAAACTCAATGTAGTGTTTTATGCCGCACGGCCTCTCCCCTTGTTTTTCTTCCTTGTTAACGCGCTTTTCTACTGCAGAGCAAATACCGCTTGTTACGTGCCGAGAAAACCACATCTACCGCGTACTTCGAGGCGGCTCTTTTAAAGCCGTGTGACATCTGGTGCACATAAGGGATGACTGCGACCTGCTTTTTTACTTTTTTGTTATTTTTACCCGCGCCTCACTCTTAATGCGTTTCACTATTGCTTCCGCGGCCGAGGTGATTACCGAATCCGGGAAACCTGCGTCTTCTAGAGCAGGTCACAGTCATCCCTTATGTGCACCCCCTATTACACGGCTTTAAAAGAGCCGCCTCGAAGTTCGCGGTAGATGTGGTTTTCTCGGCACGTAGCAAGTTAAGCGGTATTTGCTCTGCAGTAGAAAAGCGCCTTAACAAGGAAGAAAAACAGGGGGAGAGGCCGTACGGCATAAAACACCGCATTGAGTTCGCGCCATGCACCTTGGGTGTAGTGTACCAGATACCCTTCACGTGCAGGAAGGTATGCATCGGACAGACGGGGCTGTGCCTCAACATTCGCCTGCGGGAACACCGTAGTTCTTTAACAGGAACAGAAAGCTCCCACTTGGCGTTACACTGCAGGGACTGCGCCTGTACAACGTTACCTGACAAGGCCATTGTTTTGTATAAACACAGGGACCAAAAAGCTCGAGAGATTGTCGAAGCTCAAAAAATAAAGAAGGATGGGCCAGCCTGCCTGAGTCAGGCTTCCTTGAATTTGCTGGACAATCAGGTCGAAGTTTTAGATCGTGGATGAAGCATATAGAATTGTGGAACCGATAGAACCCAATTTCGTGAGGCGCATGCGCATTTAAATCGTGATTAGAGAGTCGTGTTGTTGTATGTTTTCTTCGTGGTTTCCTGATAATAAACCTTTCAGTTGTTAGTCAGCGCTCGTCCTGTCCAGTTCCTTCCTCTGCCTGTCCCTGTAAATTTCGCGCTGTTCCATTATGAAATATTTCTGCCGACTGCTAGGAGATTAAACATTACCCAAGAATTTCCCCTGTGCCTGTTTGGTTTGTATCTTCTCACTTGCATAACAGCTTAGTATTACCTCTTTACATATTACAAATTCCTTAGTTTCTACTTGTCTACGGTATTGGCTGTGTGTAATAAACTTCTAGAAGATTTGGAAATAATCTCTTGTGTATGTTTACCTGCCTTTTTGCAAATACCTGGGCGAGTACGTTATTTTGTTGAAGGGTTTGCTTGATTCTTTACATAGGTTTATCAAGTGCGAAACGGCTTAAAAAGATTGAGATTGCCAATCTTCTTTTATATTTTATATCTAGATACAAGGTCGGCGTTTTTGTTTAAGATCTACAGTGACAAATAATTTGTTTCTCATTTCATAAGATTCCGGTGAAAAGAAGAACTAAACGCTGCTAAGCATGATTGTAAAGGGAATCATAAAACGAGCTATAGAATGAGCTATAGGAGACCATGCAGAGGGCTACAGGTTAATAAAGAAACTAAAGAAAAAGCAATAGGCAGCTATAGCACAATGGGTAAAGAAAACCATAGGCCGAACTACAGAATGGGGTATAGCGGACCATACAGAGAAGAACACGCAGCTAAAGAAACCAAAGGAAAAGCCATAGACTGCTATAACACGCTGTCTAGAAAGATCTGTAGAGATCTTTAGAGGGGACCATCAAAGAAGCTATAGACGGTTAAAGAAACCAAAAGAAGAGCCATAGGCGGCTATAGCAGGCTTTCTAATGAGACCCAGAGAGCAAACGGCAAAAAATGATACAGGTGTCCATTCAAAAAGTTATAGACAACCATTACGGAGACCACAGAAAAAGCTATAGACAGCCATAAAATCGGCTATATCTCATTCAACCAATTTTCTATAGCCAGCCATTCAAAGGAGTTTCTATAGCCGAACATAGACCCTTTTTGGATCATGCAGTTTAGAGAAGCTCGTTTTAGCGAACGCCGTTTTACCGACCCCCGTTTATCGAACGCGTTTATAGAGAACCCAGTTTAGAGAAAATGGCGACGAGCCTCCTTTTAGCGAACTCGGCCGCCGCAAAGCGGCGTGTATGGGTAAGTCAGGTGAGTTAACATTTTTGTAATAAGCCGCCGCAGACTGCCGCCAGCGAAGCGGCGAGAGCGCAGTGCGGGGCATGGCTTAACACGCGCACCAGTGATACACGCGAGAAGTAGGGAAGCCTTTTTTTTTTAAAAAAAGCGTCCCCTTTTCGATAAACGGCGTTTCTCTAAACTGAGGCTTTGCTTTCTCTAAACCGTGCTTCGATAAAACGTGCCCATTCTCTAAAACGTGCTTCGATGAAATGGCATTCGCTCAACCGTAGTAAACCCGACCATTTTTATATCGGAATAGGCTGTTCGTCGCACTATAGTCCGTTGCAAGTCAAGAAGATAGGGCGAGGGAAAAAAAAGGTCGGGGGGAGGAAGCAGACGGAAGGCTGGGGAAGAGAGGAGGAAACCTCCTCCTCTCTTTAGCGTTTGGTCTGCTTCCTCCTGCCCGGCCTTTCTTTCCCCAGCCCTGCCTTCTTGAGTTGCAATGGACTATAGATATCCTATATTACAGAGAGTGTTCAACTGATGCCTCGGGGATCACGTGGTTTATGTACCGCGTTCGTAGCACAAGCAGCCAGGAGGTGACGAACGCGGTTGTCGTCTGCGAAAGTCTCCGCGTTTTCGCCTGCTTTCTTTCTTGCCAGGCGAAAACGCGGCGCATGCTCACTTGAGACCAATTACTGTTTGAAGGGCCCGCCATTAAATTGAAAATGCTCCCGATAGTTTGAGATGTACCCTCTCTACAATCGAGGCTCTTTATGTGACTCTGATAGACCACGATAATGAAACCCCGAGCTGGTTCTATAAAAATAGGAGAAAACCTGAAAACCCCCATTTCGACCTGACCCTGAATAACTGAAACAAAAGCTTCTTACGAAGAAAGTTTTATCCACAGCTTTATTTTGTGTTCATCGGGAGCACAAGCCTCACTGAACTTTCTCTGAGACTGCTTCCTTCTTCAAAACCAGATCCCCAGTATTTTTTACTTTTCCCATCGTTGCCGGGACGGCTTCTAATGATTCGAGTCACACTCCTGTTTCCTCGAGGTTGGGAAATCGCAAGCCGGAGTCCTACTCTCGTCAACCGAAGTCCCCATAAAATCCGACATTTCTCTCAACACTGATAATTGACACCGAAAAAAAAAACGACTCTGCATGAAAAAATAAATTCCCCCTCAAAAAGAGGAGAAAAACAACCTAATATTTCAAGAAATGTAAACCCCGAAACCACGGCAGCGCAGTTACGAGCGAGTTTAATATCTAATGAAACAACTTTTTCAAAGGGGCTCCCCAAAGCGCAGAAAACAGATGATTCGTGCGAATAATTTCTGACGTTGTCTACGTTTCTCCAGTATGTAATCTAGCGGTGTCGCTCCAAAATCACCAACTAATTGTTCAGCTCTTTGGTGATACTGGCCACGAACTCTACACAAATGTGTCACGTCATCCTGCGCTAAAAGATCAGCCATAAGACGCGTCAATTTTATATGGTTTTCTGCCATATTGACACTCTGGCATCTTACAGTGGCGAGGAAAATATCAAAGACCTTTAGTGGATAATGAAGAAACTTAATTTTTCTTGAATGCGTATTTAAGCGTGAACAAAAAAATGACGAACAGCCTGATCCTCCCTTGGATATCGAAGGCATTAAGCCACATAAGCTGACATCTTACTAAGGCAGGATACAAGAATTTTGGATGTTCCCGAATGCTCTTGAATGTTTCAAAGAAAAAAAAATAACTTTACATGACACGAGCTAACGTTGCAAAAGAAAAAGTGACGGGGAGAAGGAACAACGTCACCGCAGTCTATGCGCCGCCGGAATCGGGCCCTGGTAAATACTTCGATACATTTAGAGCGTTCGACAAATTGCCTCTATGTTCAATATACATGCAGTGTTTGAGATAGTACTGTGCATATTTTACCATTGTACGTTGACATTGAAATAATCAGCTATACCATGAAAAAAAAATAGTATGTTTCCAACTATTAGAAGTGCTAGGGCCCATGCGAAACCCGGAAAGGTTCACAAGGGTACTTGTAGGGTTCGAGGCAACAACCATGTCACCAAAAAGGCGGGATACCCTAACATTTTGTTGTATTTATCTTTAACAAACGTTGAACGCCACTTAAATTTACTGTAATACTCAGCAGGAACATGTTATTAAAACAAGATTAAGATTGATCACGTCATCTGAGTGGCCTTCGTATACGAGAAATCAGAAAAATATAACTGATGTAATCCCCAAAAACATGACCTATCTTGAATATTCTTTTTTGTTCTAACTAGATGATCACCATGCATTTGAAAGTATTAAAGTGGCGCTTAAAAATTTTGTAGGATGTGTAATAAAATAATCAGAATAAATAAAAAAAAAGCGAACCCGGCATTAAGTAAATCTAATTTTACCGATTGAAATAGATGGCTCTTAAGGTTTGAGTGCAACTATTAGACAAAAAGTTTTAAGTATGCTTGGCTCATACACATCTAAACTACATGTGTGTGTGTGTGCGTGTGTTTTTTCATGGCAACACGCAACATCAAGGAGAGACATGGTTGCAGTACAGGGTCCATACATTGACCACGGCAATAGGGGTAAGAGACTGGCGTCATATAACGTAATTTCATGGAAAACTTGTGACCAAGTAATTTTTCAATACAGTAAAAATATTAAATATTGAATCAGCATTCTAGACTGACATTGGGATCCATTATATTGATTCATACTTTGCGTGCCCGGTCAGGGGTGTTAAACTTTGCTCTTCCAGGGTACGCGTTCATTGCCGCGGTATGTGGAGAACGAAGAGTAGGTTTAGGAGAAGACAAGGCCAATACCTACGCTGGAGTAAGTGTTATGAGCCATGAACTTGGTCATTTGTGAGTATTTAAAATATCGTTCTTTATTGTTTTTACGCGTGTTATAATAAATAAGATCATGGCTACATTATACTCATACAAGATACATTGCTGAAGGGTTAACTCGTAGTCTTAAGCTAACTCATGAACGTAGAAATCACCCTGGTGCTGATTTCATTGAAGTAGTTCATGTACAGTGCTCATCACACTTGTCTACAACGCGCGAGCGTGCGGCCGGGGGAGTGCAGCTGTACCCTCCACCGTGGTAAAGCGAAACTAGAGACACAGCTCTTCGCGGCAAAATGGAGAAAGGAGGTCTGGGGCTAGACAAATTCGCACACCACTCTCATGAGATGGCGCCACCTTAGTAACACCCTCGCGTACCCTCCTCTTTCTCTCTCTCTGGCTTCTCTCCAAAGTTTTTTTTTTTTTTTTTTTATTTGCACGCGCGGCCGACGTTGGGTATTTTCCGTTTTTGGTACTGCGCGGAACAGCGCGGCGGCACAAAAAACCGAAAACGCCTCGGCGCAGACTACGCTGCGCCGGGGCGATCGAGTGTAGTCTGCACATGCACTCTTTGAACGCATAAACATTTAGAACGATCTCACCGAGGCAAAGAAAGAAATCCAGGTGATGGGATTATATGCATTTTTATTTGATACTCTTGGGTTAAACTACACTCTCAAAATAAATTCTTTACATAATGTTATGTACGTAAATGTATGCAACATCCCAAGTGAGCGAACATTAAACGTAGGAAGTGGTCAGAAACAGAAAGACGTGAAAATATGAAAACTGTAAGTAACACAGAATGTATGAGTATTATCTCACAAGTTTTCTACTCAAATCTGCTCATTTCTTTAATTATTGGAAACGTTCCACAATAAAAACACAAAAGTGGTGAACACACAAAAAGAAATTAGTTCTAGAATAGCATAATATACATATATATACATATCAATATGTCCAAACTTCTGGTAACTATGCGAGCATGCGCACGCATTATGAACTACAGCATAAGTCGATAAATGGAACTTTCAACGTGCATTAACTCTACACGTGTTCTGAATAGCAGGAATGCGGTAACAATTCAAAATACTGACTGCGCAACTAGCGAAGTTCATGGAAGTAGCTCATACCTAGAGGGTTATTCAAAAGTCTATATGATCACTATTCTAGGAACGTATAAGTGTGTAGACTGCGCATAAGTAACGCCAAGCCACGTGTTCGACCCCGGCCGTCATCCGGGCAACCGGAGTCGACGCCCATAACATCGGATACCACGGCTCACCTCGGCGCAGTCGGCGGCCGGTCATCTTCACGCAACTAACTTTCGCCACTTTCGGCAGGACAGGCAGCTCAGTCGCTCCGGCAGTCCTGGTGCTGGGCAGGTCATCATCGCTGCCGGCCGCCGACAGATGAATGGGAACTGACGCAGCAACCGTCGACAAACGCCAAGCCACGTTTTCATCCCCGGCCGTTATCCGGGCAACCGGAGCCGACGCCCATAACATCGGATACCACGGCTCACCTCGGCGCAGTCGGCGGCCTGTCATGTTCACGCAACTAACTTTCGCCACTTTCGGCAGGTGAGCGTCCATTTTTGTAATAATGTTTGAATAGCTTCTGTTTCTATTCTGCCACCGACTGCGACAAGTGCATTTGTGAAAATTTGATTTTTTTTGTTCCTCTGAGTGTTTTTTCCATGTGCCTTTGAAAAAAAGAAAATAATTATTGTTTACTTAGTTATGGCTAATTTAAACGAAACGGATTGCATTGCATGCTTCGCGCCTGTGCCCACGGACGGAACTTTTATCAAATGTTTCTCCTGTAAACATGATATCACCTCGATGCGTGCTCCGGCATAGCTGACGGAACCTTCAGGTCGATGGGAGGTGCGAAGCGCGAGAAATGGATCTGCCGTACATGCAGAAACTGCGAAAGCAGATCAGCCATAGGCACAACAGGGGAAGCGGTGCTACCAGCAGAAGACGATGCTGTTTCCGCACAACTGGCACAAATAAACGTAAAACTTGAGTTGCTCCACTCCCTGAAGGCTAACGTTGACCGGCTGTGTGAGCTTCCAGCCAAAGGTGATGACCTGCTTTCTTTGAGACCATCAGTTGATGCAATGAAGGAAACAATTAAGGTACTACAAGAATCAGTCGGAAAATGTGAATCAATGATGCAGCTGGTTACTGCAAACGATAAAAAGGTGAAGTTGCTCCGTTCCGAGGTTGAAGTACTCCAAGCAAGGGTGGCAGATCAAACGGCAATGATAGAGCAGTTACAGGCGAACGTAAACTCATCCGAGAAATATAGCAGAAGGTGTAACATAGAAATACACGGTATTCCTTGCGCGAACGGCGAAGACCTGAGTGTGACTATGGCCGACCTTGCGGTGAAACTGGGGCTCGCGACCCATACCCCCGATAGAGTAGTAGCTTGCCACCGCATATTCTCTAGGCGTGAGGGGGCTGCCCCCATTTTGGTGCAGTTCGCCTCAGTGTCGGTAAAGGAACACTGGATGAATACTCGCAAAAAGTTAGCCACCCTTTCTCGGTCTGAAAACCAGCAGAGGATATACTTTAATGAAAATTTGACTCGGACAAATAAGGACCTCTTCTGGCAAGCTCGGAACAAGGGAAGGGAAAAATCGTATAAGTTTGTGTGGGTTAAGAGCTCCGCCATTTTTGCGAAAAAGGACGAGAGCTCATCGCCAGTGCCTATCTCTAGCACTAGGGACTTGGGAAAAATAGAATAGAAATGGATAACACTACACTAAACTCTGATTTCTCAACGTTTATTGACTCCTTTCCGCCTAGTGCTAGCTCGCTCACGGTTTTGCATGTAAATATCAGAAGCATTAGGAAATACTGGGACGAATTTCAACTCATTGTTGGCGCAACTGACACCGTTGTTGACGTTTTTGTCCTAACCGAAGTAAATGTTCGGGATGTGGGCGTTTCTCAAGGTCAGTTTTCTCTGGTTTTGAGGCTTTTTTTTCTGACTCGCAACTCATCTAAAGGAGGAGGAATAGCAGTTTATGCTAAAAAATCCTGGTCAGCAAGTACCTTAGACATTACACTCGAACATGCAGAATGTCTGACTTTAAAGTTATGTAAAAGCAATTTCGTAGTATCTCTTCTGGCAGTTTATAGACCACCGTCGGAAGATGTGCGTAACTTTTTAGATGAGCTAAGCGCGAGTTTACAAACTATGGTGCCTACCAACAAGCTTTGTATTGTGGGTGACATAAACATTGATTTACTAAAGCCTTTCAAAAGTGCCGTCTGTGATTATTTAAATATTCTGGCAAACTATGGTATTGACAGCGTAATTCAGACGCCTACTAGAGAAGAGTACTTGTCCAATCAAATGATTAGTTCTTGTATCGACCATATAAATATGAGGAACTCAGGGGTTCCTATATTATCAGCCGTTATCAAACATAAATTGGCAGACCACTACTTTGTGGCATGTCGAATATACGCCGAGTTTATTTGTGAACCATTAGAACGACAAAACCAAATATCCATAATGAATACAAGTAATCTTGGTAGATTAATTTCTAGATATGACTGGAATCGGGTCATTGAAAATTATAACTATCACGATGCCTACTTAAAGCTGGTTGAAATATTTTCAAGCTTCAGAGCCATGAGCACGAAAACTCTTACAGTTAAAAAACGCAAGCCAAATAGACCGTGGTTAACTTCAGACGTTCTTTCTGTTATAAAAGAAAAGGATATTTTATGGGCACGATGTCGTCGCTCTCCACAGAACAAGGAATTAAAACTGCAATTTCAGGCACAGAGGAACCGTGCACTCATTCGCTCAAAAAAAGCGTCACAAATTTCATGATAAGTTTGTTCAATCACGATTTGATGTTTTGAAGACGTGGGCTCTTATAAATGAAGTCAAGAGATGCTCAACTGGATCGTCTATTGACGATACAATTGAGAAACATTTTGGCAATGACATGTCACATGTTGCGGAAAGATTTAATCGCTTTTTCGCGTCGGTTTCGGGTGTGCTGCATGATGACGATGTCATGCCCTCTAATCTTCAACGCTCCTGCTCAGCATCCGCCTTTCTACCAAACATTACGGCAGAAGATTTACATACGCTGTTATTTAGTTTTAAGCCCGGCAAAGCACCCGGGGCAGATAGCATCCACCGTCCCAGCACGGCTTTATCTCTGGGCGTAGTACCGAATCGCTTCTTGAGGAATTCGTTGACACTTTAAATGAAACCTTTGACAACAACAAATATGCATGCGCACTCTTTATGGACGTTTCAAAGGGATTTGATTCTATTAGTCATAAAGTACTTAAGAAAAAAATTTACGATTACGGTTTCCGGGGGCCCTTTTTTGTATTCTTGAAGATTTTTTTGCGAATCGGACACAGCACGTTTCAGATGGCAAAACCAGCAGTGTCAGTATAAATCTGAAAGCTGGAGTGCCTCAGGGGTCTGTTTTATCGCCACTCTCGTTTCATCTTTACGTAAATGACTTAGCCAAAGCTGTTTCCGGTTGCGATATTTATCAGTATGCCGATGATACTTTGTTAGTTTCTCGGCATATTAATTTGTGCAGTGCGATTTCTTTACTGCAAACCAATGCTACCCGGGTAATAGACTGGTTTTAGGCAAATTGTATTAAAATTAAAATTGATAAAACAAAACTAATGTGTTTCAGGAGTCCCCTGAAACGCAAATGTCCAGAAATTCCATTTGTGTTGCACTCGTCGAAATGTACGCGCTGCATAAGTGCACCTATTCAATTTGTTCCTTCCAACAAGTATTTAGGAATCTTCTTCGACAGTGATCTGTCGTGGAATTCTCATCTAAGCTATGTTGCCAAGCGACTGCGAAGTGTGTTCTGTATGTTGTATTCTACAAAGGCCTTTTTTCCATTTTCTTTTTGCAAGATGATAGTCAATGCTTTAGCCTACGGGTTGCTACGGTACGGTATTACTATTTATGCAAACTGTTCAGTGCTGTGGCAAAATAAAACC